TACGCGTCGAACAATCGTCGGTCTTGAAATGCAACCCTATCTGAAAATTTCCCCCAAATTGCGCGCCGAATTATCGTCGGTCTTGAAACGCAACTCTAACAAAAAAAAAGGCGTATAAGGTAGCTTCCACTACAATGCCTTACTGATGAGTCCAGTAGTGGAAGCTGGGACGAAACGCCATAATTACGTGATATTCTTCGCAACATATATTAGATCAATTTAAAGATTTTAACGAAATTATTGGCTCATTGCCCTTATCTCTTTATATTTATGAAATATTTGTAATATTTATTTTTAATATTTCGTAAAATATTTTTGTGATTCTAAACAATTCATAAATATTTATTATGAATATAAAATATTTATCGTAAATATTGTAGTAAATATATATATTATACCATAAAAATAATATAAATTAATATAAAACATTATAATTCCAAAATAATATCTACTAGAAATATTTATTTATATTTATCTCATAAATATTATATAAAATTTTATTCTATATTTTAATATTTCGAATAAAGCTTTATATAAAAGGAGTATAAAATGTTTATATAATATTAAAAAAAATTAATAATAAAATATATTTATGAATATTTATCATAAATATTCTGTACTGTCTGGGTTATCGGTGTCATTATTATATGAAAAATATAATATGCAATTAGGGTTATACATCCACATGCATGGATCCATTTTTACCACACACACACATACACATATAGATTAACTTTAATCTAAATATAATTTACTCTTTATCTTTTTCTAATTTTTAAAACTAGAAAACGATAAAAAGTAAGTAAACCATGATTAAAGCTAATCTATACAGAAACGAGCACTGATGCTACAAATAAATATTTCGAAGCATTTTTTGAGAGAGAGAGAGAGAGAGAGATTGGTCAATTATATATTAAAATTCTTTTTTTGATTAGTTAAACAAATGAATTGCACTCCAGATTTGTTATATTTCTGTTTCTTTAAATATAGTTGCAAAGCTTGGAAAATGGTGAAAGCGAATTTGCTTTTACACCATCTAGAAGGGTGATGATATTTTTTATTTAATCTTATCGAAGTCTAATACATTTATGTAGATTTATGTTGCTTTAAGATTTTCTCTGTTAAATTAATGAATAATTTATTGTACTAACTAATTAAAAACATATTAAATATCAAAGATAACGGTTAACGTTTTTATTTTAGCTATTTATTTTTCCTATCGGTCGATCAAGTTTCAAGAAGAACACTTACATTTTTGCATACCCATCTCCAGCTACGTTCTCTGGCTGGCGATTCAAATCGTTTATATCAATTTTACCGATATTTTTAAAATAAATAAAACAACAGGTCGATTCTATTTATTTTCATAAAGCATACAAAATGAAATGACGAAAGAAAGCACAATTCTACGACCCTCTTCCGGACCGATTGTGTAAGATTTATTTTCTCGTCACTTTGAATTATCCCTTCCCTTTTTCTGGAAAGAGAGGAGAGAGAGAGAGAGAGAGGGAGAAAGAGAGAAGAACACGTCGCAATTTTGCCGACAACGGACGGGCAGATATCGATTTGGATGGCCAATTAGGTCTAAGAGGTCCTTCAGGGAGAATTTGTGCACGACACACTACGAATCACTTCTCCATCTCGTCCACCACCGCTAGCGTGTCATTCTTCTCACCGCATAGCTAAATCCAGCCGTTCCTTTTACCCCCGTCCTCCTCCCTACCACCCTCCTTCACCCTCTCTCTCCCTCTCCTCAGTCGAATCTCATCTTTCTACGGTCGTGGCTCTCTCATTTTCTGAATTATTTTTCCACGAGTCGTTTGCAGGGTCGAGACTCTGCAGACGGGGAGAAAAGAGCAAGGGGGAGAAAAAGAGAAAGAGAGATTCGTACGGTCGAGGGAGTTCGTATGCCATACACATCCCTCCGACTCGAATATATAGGCGACGACAATGCGACGATAGCGACGGAGAAGGATACAAGGATGCTACGTGGAAGAAAACGGTGGTTTAAAGAAACGAAAAGTACCCTGACCCGTATTCTTCTGCTTCTATCTTCACCGCCACATTTAGCGCACTAAGAGTGGCCATCGGAGTGTGTGGGCTTTAGGACCGATCCCCGGGACGTCCGTTAACCTCAGATTGGGGGTGTGTTACCCAAGTCTGGAGATACGAAAGAATGGAGATGTTTTCAATTATGGTGAATGATGATGAATAAAATATCTATCTCTCTGTTACTTCTTCTGTAAATTTATCACGGGAGAAATACTATATTTTTCATGGCTTCTAAGATCAAGTGAATCCCTCGGACGGTTCAATGATCTTCTCCGTTTCTTTTTAAACGTAAATGAAGACGAAAAGAGACAATTGAACTACCGTTAAAATTTTAAATTAATCGATGTCCCAAGGAAGCGTCGTTTATTTGTACAATACGAGAAATTGGGCAAGCACGCGTTTAGTGCCGAATATGCGACCGGAATACGGGATCTTAGGAGACCACGAATCTCGCTTGCCACGCGGGCGGAATTCTACGATGGAATTCTACGATTCTGCAGCCGATATCGCAGTCGGGCCGACGGTGGCACCGGGCGCCAGGACCGCCGTCCTCCACCCCGTAATCTGGCAGTGCATTTAACCACTTTGCGAAATAGCCGTATATCTCCCCGCTGTGACGTAGCATTCGATATGTCGAGAGTGCGGGATTCGGCGGTGAGATCGGCAGAACGGAGTGGCGAGGAAGTGGAGAACGGGGGAGAAAGTTCTCGAGGATAAAGAGACGCGAAGCACCGAGGCTCTTGTGATGGGGATGAGGGAATCCAGGGGAGGGGGGAGGGGATGAGTATAGCGATGACTATACGATATGCGCGCGCCCCCGTCATACCCGTTTAGAGATAGAAGGTGGTCCCCCGCCTCGCGACTAGGGTGGGGTTGCCCGACTGTTGGTAGGGGGTGGAAATGCTCCCGATTCGACTCGGTGTGTAGGGCGCACGAGCCGGCTATCGCCGCTGGGGGTTGGAAGTGGGGATTTGTTACAGGGAGAGTATCCGTAGGCAGCATAGGGGAGAGTAGAGACAGGAAAATAAGACAGACAGAGAAAGAGAGAGGGAGGGGGGGGGAGAGAGAGAGAGAGAGAGAGAGAGAATGAGAGAGAAGGTAGATGTCGGGACATTGGAGAACGTACGCGCGCGATTGCAGAGTACGAGGGGTGGTGTAGACTCGAATCACGATGGTCATGTGTGTGTGTTTGTGTGTGCATATACGGGGTGTCGTAAAAAATTCAAACTATATAATGCGCTCTCCAATAATTTTTAGATTATATAGTTTTGGTGAAAATTTCACTAGAAATTTTATTACTTTTTTCTTTACGTTTATTCAACGTCATAATATTCGAGTCGTCAAACAAAAATTCTACTACTCTAATCTGCTAAAACTTAAAATTCGCCTATAAAACTTTTAAAGTTAAAAAATTCGAACTTCATCTTTTCAAACAGAGAATTCCTATCGATACTGTTTTGTTACTATTCCTCAGGTTCTTTCGGACCACCCTGTAGCGAGCTTGGAAGAAGGGTGCGCCCTACTTCGTGTCGGCGTTTTCCCTCCCGAGCCACCCAACGTGTGCAACGGGGTGAGGGGATGCCAAAGGGTGCGAGGGGATGTTAGCAGAGTACGGACGTATGAACGTACGAATGAACGAAGAGAGACGGAGAAAGGACGACGCGAGATGAAGATACGAGGAGAGGAAAGCCGTGCGAGAGGGTGTCTCTCTGTTTCGCAGCCGGGGGTTTCGCAGTCTCGCATTTCAACAACGACGACGCCGAACGTCGCTGGTGTCGCCGTCGCCGTTTTTTCCCTCGAGTAAGGGAACGCGCGCGCGCGTAAATGTGATAGATAGAAACGTAAAGGAAAAAAGAGTGTGAGAGAGAGAAGGAGAGAGACGTTGACAGATACAGTGAGTTGAGAGAGAGAGAGAGAGAGAGAGAGAGAGAGAGAGAGAGAGAGAGAAAGATAGAGACAGAGGCAAGGGGTACACTATAGCTAGGGGAGACAGTCGCGAACCCTCGTACGTTAGCCCCCGCACAACGAGAGCAACGTTACGCTCGGCTAGCACGACGGGGCACCTCGTGAGAATTCGGGTATCAGGGGTGCTTCTGTAGTAGCGGCGGCGGACGGTGATGTGAGTGGTAGCGGTGGTGGTCTGGTGGTAGCAGTGGTGGTGTCGTCGCTGGTGGTAGTGGTGCGGTTACAGTCGATACGGCGTGGCGGAGGCGTCGAGGAGCTTCTCGTCGGCGACGACGAGAATAATGCACGTTGGTGGACATAGATTTACGTAAGAAGGACGACGACGACGATGATGATGACGAGGGCTTGTCCGCCTTGTTCGTCTGCTTAGTAGTGACGTCGTATGTGCTGGTCGCGTGTGCGCACGTGTGACGCCGCCAATGGATACTCGACGAAGTGGCTGATCGAAAATCCAAGGGGACGTCCTCGGTGGTTTGGGCTCGTCGGACGGAGCGCGCGCTGCTCGGAGAGCGAGGGCGAAGGAACATAGCGAATACGCCGTAAGGATAAGGGGTGCTGAGGAAGGATTTGCGAAGGGACGGAACGAGTCCGTTCAATTTCGATTCCCCTTGTAGTTCGCCACGGTGCGCAGGGAGGATTCTGCAGCGGATGTATAAATTTCGAGGTGTGTGAGAGGAGCAGCAGCCACTATAAAAGGGGAATCGTAAGAAAGAGAACGCTAAGGAGGAAAGAAGGTGCAGGGAGGAAAGGAGGAAGGAATAAATACGAGCACGAGAACACGGAAAGGAGGATGGGCGTAAGATCGCTCCCGAGAGGCTTCCCTGTACGGAAGATGCTTCTCGGTCGTCATTGAAACGACGTGCGCGAATCCCGAGTGTCGTCGGGAAAGCAAGGTACAGGGAGAAAGAGAAAAAGGAGAGAGTCGAATCGAGTCGTGGGACGACCAAAGTTCGCTACGACGACGACGACAATAACGATCCATCATGGGAGTCTCGGTGTTTCTATTGTACGCGGTAACGGTACTCGGTGTGACAGCCAGCGACAATTGTGCCGACAAGTGCTCGTGCAAGTGGAAGAGCGGGAAGCGCACGGTGGAGTGCGTGAATCGCGACCTGATCAGCATACCGGAGTGGATCGATCCGGAGACCCAGGTGCTGGACATGAGCGGCAACAACATCTGTCACCTGCCAAACAACATATTTATACACGTGCGGCTGACGAATTTGCAGCGTCTCTACTTGCGTGAGTGTCGTATCGATCGGATCGATAGCGAGGCATTGGCCGGCTTGACGAATCTCGTGGAGCTCGATCTCAGCAACAATATGCTGGCCGCGGTGCCGAGTTCGAGTTTCACCGACACGCCATTCTTGCGCGATTTGGTGCTCGCGTACAATCCGCTCAAACGAATTCGCTCGCACGCGTTTAAGAGCACACCGAATCTAGTGAAGCTCGATTTATCGCATACACAGCTCGTCGAGATTGAGGCTAAGGGTTGGCGCGGACTGGAAATGCTCGAGAGTCTCAAGCTGAGCAACAATGAACTGTCCACCCTGCATCTGGGCACTTTTGAGCCGCTTAACAAGCTCACTAGTATCGAGCTGCACGAAAATCCGTGGGTCTGCGATTGTCATTTACGTGAGATGAAAATGTGGCTGGTCAAGCATAATCTACCGACCATCGTGACGCCCGTATGTCACGGGCCCCAGCAATTGCTCGATCGTGCCTTCACCGATCTCGGTATCGATGACTTTGCCTGCCGGCCGATCTTGCTGATAGCCAGCCGTTATGCCGAGGCCACCATCGGCGAGAACGCTAGTATCGTGTGTCGCGTGAGTGCGGTACCAGCAGCAGAAATCAAGTGGTATTGGAACGGCCGATTATTGACCAATCACTCGGCCTTCAGCAGCTATCAAAAAATCCTCATCTTCGAGGAGGGTCAATTTAAGAAACGGAGCACTCTTATTCTCACCAACGCACAGGAAGCGGATTCTAGTGAGTTCTACTGCGTTGCCGAGAATCCCGCTGGCTCCGTCGAGGCAAATTTCACCTTGCACGTGTCTCTAAGGACGGCAGGCATGTCGACTTTAGGCTCGGGCCAGATCGCGGGTATATCCGCCGCGTTGGTGGTGCTCATACTCTTCATCCTGCTCATCATTCTCGTATTGTTCATTCGTTTGCGGAGAATGCCGCTGAAGGACGTGAAATCGTCGGCGCCGATGGAAGCGGCGTCGAGCGACGGTATCGGCAGCGGTGGCGGCGGCAGTGGTGGCGGCAGCGGTGACAACAACCCTCCGTCCGCGACCTCGACGACTCGCAGGAAACACGAGGAGATCGAGACGACGTCGTTCGCGCTCGAGTCCAAGCCACCCGCGTCGCTGCATCTGAGCTACGTGCAGAGACCGCACGCGGTCGTAATGCAGGAGAGCGAGTACAGCACAATCAGCCGCTTCGACGATCAGAATCAGCCCGCGGTGGCGGCGATGCCGGGTGCCGGGTGTTTCTCGTCGACGACATCCTTGATGCCGATCGATAATCCGGATCTCATCAGGGACACTCGGCGCAGCTCCAACGAGGACATCACGCCTTACGGCGTCGCCGATTACGGCCGCGTCGAAGCGCTAGACGACGCCGGCAAGATGCTCTACACCAGCTGCCTGTGGGAGGCCAGGGACAGCTGCGGTAGGGCGTCCGCCGTTTCGGCGAACGTGTATCCCTCGAAGGAGCAGCAGCTCGCGGTGGTCGCGCCGGTCGTCGAGCAATTTCCACCCGGCGCGAAGCAGATAAGAGTCTGGCAGAAGGGGGTCCCGGTGCTGCCGCCGGTTTCAGCGCTGAAACGCGTCCTGGGATCCACGCGCAGCTCGCCCGATGAGGGTTATCAGGAGGGCACCGGTACCGACGTCTAGGTACCGCTACTTCATTACTGCGATGCCCGTCACCGTTATCTGGAGCTACGTAGACGACACCAGGAGGACGACACTGACTGCTAAGAGAGGAACGAAGGAAAAAAAGTAAAAGAAAAAGAGTTGTCCTCACGAGTGCCGGGCGGGCGGTAGTGAACAGGTTTAAAAAAAATGTGCCGGACGAATCTCGCGTTCAAGTGTGATCGCATCAGTGTGACTATATGATCAAAGCTAACGCGTCATTATTGTTGTACACAGACCACTCTTTACTGTTGGACGAAAGCGTTACGCTCGCAATCGCGTTTACGTACAGTGATGGACGATACAACATTATACAGTTTCACACATTTAAATAGATACCATTCAAGTCAGCAAGAGCGATAGCACCTTGCAATCGGGAAGGTACAATTGAACCATAGACAAGACGTGAACAACGCACAGCTCACCTCTAAAGACTGCCATAACTATAGTACGCGCGTCGAATCGCTAGGCGTATGCAAGGAGCTTTCTAGAGGTCGACGAACGCGTGGATCGTTACTGCAAGAGATTGACATCGTGGCCACCGAGAATCGTTTGCGTTGTACGTAAAATTTCGCTTGAAAGACTTATATGGTCGACTGTGTTAAGTGGATTAGCACGAACCGTGCGCTTGAGCGAATGGCAAAAATCGGGGCTCTTTCGAATTTAAGAACCATCACCCACGTCCATTTGTTCATCGTAAACGGACGCTTACAAACGAGCGTTTGTAGTGGTGCGACTCTTTGAGGCGGTCGACGGCAATTAGTGACACAGTTAGAAATGTCCTTGTGCGGGGTGCGTGTGGTGCAACCAATTGGCAGACGTTCAGTTCAGTTCCGTTTGTACGTGTGTCACGAGGATTGCCTCCAGTGTTCGATATCGATAATGTTAACTTGTACAGGATGTACTGAAAAAAGTGGTCAACGTTTGAAAGATGACGACGTGTCTATTGTTGCGAGTGAATATAACTCTCAAGTTACTCACGAAAATTTGTACTTGTATAAGAATACATAAATATCGCGATTGATAATAAGATTTTACAATTAGAATCGAACACGCAGAAATGATACGTATCTTCAAGTTCACAGTAATCTCGTGAGAATCCAACGACAAACTCGAGAATTCAAATTTAGATACGTGTTCATTAAGATTCTCTTGTACTCGCAACGATTGACACTATTGTCTTTCAAAATATTGGTCTTTCCTCTGGAAACATTCTGTGTAATGCGGCAATGAAAGTCGATCGCAAGGCGATGTCTCGCGCACACGGAGTGCATACAGGAAATGCATACACACACGACGTGCACCAAGCCGGGGACGAGGGAAGTGATGACGATACGCTACGCCAACCACGTCATTGTCTGGGCGGTTGTGCAGCACAATATCGACGGGTAATACATTTGTATAATGACTAAGCCGAAGCGGTTTGAGTCAGTTGGGAGGCTGAAATCTCCCAGGTAAAAAATGCGTTAAGTAGCTCCCTTTAAGATGATAAACGGCGAGCATGGAGATTGGGCAGTACACATTTCCGGCAATGAGGCTGGCGTGTAGAATTGCATAGGAAGCGAGGAACGATGCTTAAGCTACGAAGTATCTCTCGTGGATTTTTTCTAGTCAATTCGATGAAAGAGAGGATGAGAAAAGGAAAGAAAAATAACAGAAATGCGAACGGATTCACGGAATTATTTATTCGGCGGAACGGGAAACTCGCGCTGGCAAAATGGCGCGATCTCAATTAGGAGAATACACGAGGTAGTCTCGTTGAGTCAACACAGGGTTATTCTCTCGAAGCTTCGGTCGACAAACTCTCACGATTACAGACCGACGAGCCTATATTGTTGTTTCGAGTGGCTGGGACGAGTGGCTCTCGTGTCCGAGACGAAACCTCGCGTAAACGATCGAGTAAGGGATATGGCGGCCGGATGCTGCTCTGGATCCATACTTACGACCGCACGTTCTTCGATTCGATCGCAATCGCAATCTCTTGGCGGGTAGTACCAATTTTTCTCGAGTATTCTATATGAAATTCGCTACGCTTTTATCCAATACAAATTTATTTCTCGATTCCCATTTTATTCGGAATACAGCTTGATTGAATTCCTTATATTTTATTTAATATTCAATTTAGTAGTAATTATCGATATATCGTAACGCGTAGCGTAACAACAATTTTGCTGTTTATTTTGATATTTATCAGCGTAAAAGGTACGTACCTCGTATTAAATTTGTACAACAAATAACATAATGACGATGTCAGTCAATAATATTGATGACGTCTGATATTAAAGCTTAAAGCTATAGTATTACAATACACTTGTCGTACGACGAAGATTTTAAATTTATTGATTGGCTATAGGATAAAGAGATTCGAACGACTCTCTTTCTTGCAGCCAATCAATAGGCTTCAAATGCTTTGTCGTACAACAAATGTAATACCATCAGCTTAAGGCTTTTTCAATATTAGTGGTGTGTCATTTGCGAGCACGTGTGTTGTGACAATGAATCCAGAGTATGTGTAGGCCTTGATCGTGGTCTTTTTGCACATGCCAAGCCGCTAGAATCAATTACATAAGACTGATAAGTCTCTGAATCAATTACGAGCGAATGTATATTATTGCTCAATCACTAAAGCTGGATTTCGCGATTGATTGGTTGGCTTATGCCCAACGTTGGCATCTTACGTAAGTGAGGCTTTGTCGAATCACGTATTCGAATGAACCGTACTGTCAAGTCGGATTACTGTGCTTCTACAGGGGTATTTTTCACACGTTGAATTATTAATTCAGAGAAAACCATTGAATATTTGATCAAATTGATCAGGAAGCAACTTGTCTCTGAATAACCTACAATTACAGAAAACGTTATAAAATCTTTACAGCAATATAAAAACTCGTAACAATGTATTTATTATCTTTTACTTCATAAATTGGTTTTTATTGGATATTCTTCTTTTATAGTGGATTTTTATTTTAACAGATAGTTTTATTTTATAAATAATATTAAGTGATAATCGATCGAAAAATATTCAAATATAAGCGAAATGGGTCATATTCGGTCAAAAGTGGATGCTTAATAATACTTTTATATGAATTTTTTACAATTTCAAGCAAGCTGTTTTTTATTTTATAATTTATTGTGCAATACGTATAAATTTAACATGCTGTCTTTTTCTAGGAAAACATAAAAATACTTTCTTTAATTTACTCGCAACAAAAAAGACTTACGATTTTGTGGCAACGGACAATTTAATGAAAATTGCGAATCATTTCTCTAGGTATCAATTTGGAGACACTTTCTTACCCCTAAAGGAGGTAAATTAACTCGATCTGACGATAGGTCAAAAACGCCAGTCGCGAGTTTCATTCGATCGCCATCTAAAAGTGTGTCGACGTGCGTTCATTTTGTATGCCGTAAATAAGCATGTACTCGTGTGCGTATGTGTGTGTTTATGGATGAGTATAGATGAGAGTGTATCCGTGTTTGCGCGTACGCGTTTTCCGTTCGTCGAAAAAGCACGCGGCTGAGAGAGAGCGCACGCGCGCAATTCGGCGCTTTGCGTTTATCACCGATTGTTCTGTAGCGTATCGTGTAGAACGACCAGTTTTTCTCTGCTCAATGATCTCGAAGCCGTATCCGACATATCGAAAAAAAAAAAAATAAAATAAAATAAAACAGCGTTCCGGAAATAGCGCCCGCAGCCACTGCGGACGATATGTCGCATGCACACACAGAACTGAATCACTCGGACTTTGCATTAATTCTTATATATCTAGAGAAAAGGGGACGAATATAGATGACATATGCGCGTGACATATAAGTGAATAACGTTGACTGCCTTGATTGTACTGAATATTCCAAGAGTAAATTACAAGGGGATCACGGAACATTTCTTTGTCTGATAATTTCTATCTTCCGTTGCGCGTAATTAAAAGTCGTGGTAATTAACCGGTCTTAAGTGACTACAGAAAAGTTCATAGGAATGTAAAGCGAGTGACAACAGTTACTTTGAAACGAACTCGACCGTCGTTCGACTACCATTCTTCTCACACGGATGTGTGAGTCGATGTACATGCGTGTAACGAAGACGAAATGATCTTCGTGAAGCTATTTTCAGTAAAGCCCATTTTCAGAATGATCTCGTAATTCATGGAGCTCTGTTTTCTCTTCATTTATTTGTTTGTCCACTATTTTAATTGCTATCTTATCCGAACAAACGGATTACGAATAATCGGTTTTTGTTTCCTCTCTTTTTAGTTCTCTCGGAAATTTTCGTTCCGTAACAATTTCTATTTGAAGAATGCGCCGTTACTCAATCCTACCTATCATTCGTATAGCGATCCGCTCGTTAATCTACGCGAACCGAATTCGTCCTCGAAAAAAGTTTCGTTCGAAATTTCTACATATATGCAGTTTCGCTTATATATGCGATGTTAAAAAAAAAAATTTGTACGGTGTATGAGCTCGCAAATTTTTCCCTTTTGCGAACGTCGTTGCGTCTTAACTTTCGAACTTGAAATCGCTCATCTTAAATCGTGTGGCTCTTACATTAAAAATTATAAAGCGTGGACTAATGAAAATGTCACGTTCTTTTTTCCAACTCTACTATCTAGTTTAAAAATGTGTTTTCGCGAGCGTTCTCACGCGTATACCGGCATGTCGATCCCTCAAAGCAGTCGAGAGTCAACTGTTGCGTGCAAGTGAGTCTTTATATCTGATTTCCATGAGTGTTTTTTTTATACCTCTCGATCGACGTGGCACACAACCGAGTGCCACAACGCCACATGCCGGTTCAATATACTCAGTGATAGCACTCGTTGTCTAGCTAGCGACTCTAAGGCATGTGAAAGGTCTCCCCCTAGAACCTGTGCAAAACTCAATGCGAGCTATACCATTCGGAAAAACGCGATATTAATTGCGATTTACTGTCAAAATCAAAGTGCGAATCTTCGGGGTGTGTACCGATCACGCGATATCACAATATTTACACACGTTATTTAATGAAAATTTTTTAGAAAAATGTGTTGGATAAAGTAATCTAACGAGTCAGCTCGCCGGGAAATTACACGAACGTAATACTGCCATGAAGGAATATTATAATTATTTATGAAACTGGAGCACGATAGAGAGATAAGTTATAAAGAATTAATATATAACAAAATACATTACACATATCGTTAAAAATCGAGGAAAATAACAAATATTCCGAATTTTGGCATTCGATTCGAAATTCTATTCTGTGAGAGGATCACGTTCAATAAGTAAGTCCCTAGTGATTATAAAATTAAGAGTGATCCTCATTGGCTCCCTTGAAAGTTTTGCACTCTAAAAATAACTCAATAATAAAACTTAGCAAGTACAATCCTAATAATGCTATTTCATCTCACATTGACTTTGGCCATTGATTTTCACTTTCCTGAATTATTGATTCAAATTATAAAAATTCTTTATTTCCTGGAATCCTTTTCCTAAAAAATAAATAATTGTATTAATTGTTGGTGCGTGACATGCGATATTGCGTGAAACGAAACTATCGTCG